TATGAGGCAAAGTTGTATATAGGGTAGAAAAATCAAAACTTTGAACAGATTCGAAATCACCAATATGAGCATGCAATTTATCAAGTGCTTCCAACGAATTTTTGACACTCCAAAAGTAATTAATTCGACTATTTTTAAAGACCTTATTTGAACAATTTATTACCAGGATTTTGATTGTACCAAGTTAACTATTAGACTGTTAACTGTAGAATAGACAGTTTAGTAGTGGAACAATGACTAGAAGACGAAATAAATCTATATTTGTAAGGAGTTTTGTGTAGCTTCGGAAGCCAGTACATAGTTGGAACTTTCCAAGTTTCTTTTTTTAAGACCATTTGAGCTAAAATTTACTTGCGCATGAGTTTGCATTAAAAATTGAGGATTAATGAGCCACATAGTATACTTATTTCAGATTTCCAGAATACCAGGGGTTATTTTTAGTAGCAGTTGCCTTCCGAACGGTCGCTTTTCGCTACAAGACTTTAAGCATTGGGTGAAAATTGGCATATAGAAAGGTGATACATGTAAAATTCAGAATATACCTGGTTTCTATGAGGTTAAACTTGAGGTAAAATATTTAGGAAGCTGTTGAAATTGAAAAAGTTGCTTGAATATATAGGGATTTTGAATTGGTGGTCTGACACCTAACATGACAATTCAATAGAATGCAGTTAAAACCTAATTGGCAAACCTGGGTTAATGGACAAAGATTACGTTATGTTTATGAGACCAATGTTCGCATACGTATTTTTCTTATTCTGGCTATCAATCTTTTTTTTCTTCTCCGTTTTAATGAATAGTAATACTTCTCGACATGAACATTGATGTTTTGACTTAAATATATGTTTTTCGCGTGTTGAACATTGATTTCCTTTTACATAGAATAAAACATCTTACTAAGTTGTGAAAATAATTCTATATTTTTTATTAAATTGAATTTTGTCAAATGAAATTTTTTACTTGTCCACGGGCAACCAAGACAAAAAAAAAATACTTATCCGGGTGTTCAAATGTACGAGTCGGGCGAGTCGGGGATAGCATTCCCACACCCCTGTCAAATTAAATCAAATCTAAAATTACAATAAGAAGATCAAAAATTAAGGTTGAAAAAACTGAGGGAACCGCATGATAATCCAAACGTAGCGAGAATGGGTACATCAACAGGGCAAGCGTATTGTGCTATGCAATCTCTAACCGCCATGCGACTCCACACTCAGTGAAAATTTCACTTAAAGGAATAGGACATAATTGGCAAATTTCCGTTAGTGATTCGAGACACAGAAACATCGTATCGGTCAACCATTTCATGATTGTGACCGTTAAACTTGTCGATTTTAGTCGTTCTTTCTCATAACTCTGTTGGAGCAGGTTTTGTGTCAGGGGGACACTCTTAATTATGAAGTCCGTATGGTAAGAACCTGTACTACAAAATGTAGCTTAGTAACGTGTTTATTCAGATATATAAACAATCTGTACAATGGGACAGAGGATCTGTCACTGCTGAAAAATTAGAACTTGACAATTGAAAAGTTGTAATCTTCACATTTTATTTTGAAGTCGTCCATCTGTATCGATAGCAAAGAAAACTTAACGCATACAATTTGGTGTTGGTATTATCCGTAATCTCAAGTGCACTTTCTTCACCTGGGTTTGGTATATGTCGGGGAAATGAAAAAAAGGTTTAACTAAAAGTAAAATAACAAAAATACCGAACTCCAAGGAAAATTCAAAACGGTAAGTCCCCTAACAAATCGCAAAATCAAAAGCTCAAACACATCAAACGAATAGAAAACAACTGTCATATTCCTACCTTGGTACAGGCATTTCCTTATGCAGAAAATGGTTGATTAAACCTGGTTTTATAGCTAGCTAATCCTCTCACTTGTATGACAGTCGCATAAAATTCCATTATATTGACAACAATGTGTGAATAAAATAAAAAAAACAGACAAAATAAGTAAAAATGTCAAAAATTGGGGTACAGCGGTCAACATTGTGTTATAATCTTAATCACTATGAAAACAAGCAACTCTTTCAATGTGACTTACCGAATTAGACTATTTACCGGATTTGTAATAACATAATCAACACGACGGGTACCACATGTGGAGCAGGATCTGCTTACCCTTCCGGAGCACCTGAGATCACCCCAAGTTTTTGGTGGGGTTCGTGTTGCTTAGTCTTTGGTTTTCTATGTTGTGTCATCTGTACTATTATTTGTCTGTTCGTCTTTTTATTTTTGAACATGGCGTTGTCAGTTTGTTTTCGATCTTTGAGTTTGACTGTCCCTCTGGTATCTTTCGTCCCTCTTTTTTAACAGAGAAAAACAAAATGGCATGTAGACACTGTCTATAGACAAAGCACATATGCAAAATTGAAAAACAAGAATATAAAAAAAGACCACAGCACAATAACACAATGGCGGGATGTATAAATACCGAGCCACGTCAAACGGATATTAACAAAAATGGACAAAACAGTAAAGGTTAAAAATGTACAAAGACAAATAAAAAGAACACTTTAATACGTAAAGGCCATTATGTATTATTTATGAAGTTGATAAGGAATATTTATCAACAAGGTCTTACTAGTATCTTCCGATGAACTTTTTTTAGAAAAAGAATGAGACGTTCTTTGACATAACCCTGGTTCATCAACTTTCTTCTCAGACACTGGTGACGTTTAACAAACATACATGCAGTCATAGATCATATCATCATTTCAATAAATCTCACTTTCAATTCTTTCTTGGAACTAACAATCCTCTTTGTACAACACCTCTCAGAGGATCAAAGGAAGTCTACTGGATTCGAGAGCTCGGCACTGCGACACCATATGTTTATAGCGACATAATTGATGGTATAGGTATTCTATCTAGTTCTTCCTACGGTTTGTCTAAAGTGATGAATGTTGTCAACTCTGTTGTTCGACATAATCGTAGTAAAATTACATTACCTACTCTTCATTAAGCTACATATAATGACCTTCTCCCAAATAAAGAGAAGGCGTTGGGTATTCATCACATTGGCACAATGCTATATTACTACCTCTTTTGAAACTTCATTCCCCGTACTAAAAGTTCTTCATACGGCTTGTCTAAAGTGATGAATATTGTCAACTCTTCATTGTGCTACCTATAATAACCTTCTGCCAATTAAAAAGAAGGAGTTGAGAATTCATCATTCGCATAATGCTATATTACTACCTCTTTTAAAATTTCATTCTCTGTACAAATTATGTTTAAAAAGTACAGTCACAATTCCCCATTCATACCAATACAAACGTACAGCTGATTCCTTGGCCCGGCTATGATGATACTTTATGTCCTTTTTTTGGTTTATAAGCTCTTAATTTTTTAAACAAAGTTTTGTTTTCTGATATTTTAGCATCATGTACATTGTATCACTGAAGAGACATTTATTCTCAAAAAACGCATCTGGTACATAAAAATTAACATAATTAATGTAATAACTATATATCACTGGTTAGATACCTCTGCTGGTGCACTGCACGTCCCAAAGGGTATCATAAGCCCAATAGCCAGTACTTTGGTACTGGCATGAAAATACGGATATTGTGTTATAAAAAAAATTGCTGTTATAAAATTTTGGAAATAATTTTGAACCAAGGAATATATCTCCCCTGTGCAACGCTCTGATTCCTTGCCCGGGTTTGGTTATATCTTTTTGTCCTTTTTGGTTTATTAGCTCTTCGTTTTATTTTAAGATAAGTTTGGATTTCATTTACTTTGGCCTCGATCATCACTTGCACTGGTTAATAAGCTCTTCATTTTTTGGATAGGTTTTTGTTTTCAAATATTGCGGCATTACTAAAGAGACATTTATTGTCAAAATGCGCATCTGGTCCAGAAAAATTGGTACCTTTAATGATATAACTACTACTGGGTTGATACTTCTGCTGGTGGACTGCAATTCCCCGATAGTATCACTAGCCAACTAACCAGTAATTTGGTACTGGCATGACAATGTGGATATTGTGTAATAATAATTTGCTGTTAAAAAATTTGGAAATTATCTTAAATTAAATACATTTCCTTCATGCAAAGGTTTGATTCCTAGCCCGGCTTTAGATATGCGTTTTGTCTTTTTCGGTTTATAAACTCATCACATTTTTTAATATGCTTGATATTTTAAAGTCTGTCTTTCTATGTTGTGATGTTACACTATTGTTTCAGATAAGGGTGAAGGTTTGGTACCATTAAAACGTTTAAACCCCCTGCAATTGTTTGCACCTGTCCTATGTCAGGAATCTTCTGATGTTCAGTAGTTGTCGTTTGTTGATGTGGTTCATAAGTGTTTCTCGTTTCTCGTTTTTTATATAGATTAGACCGTTGGTTTTCCCGTTTGAATGGTTTTACACTAGTAATTTTTGGGGCCCTTTATAGCTTGCTGTTCGGTGTGAGCCAAGGCTCCGTGTTGAAGACCGTACTTTGACCTATATTGGTTTACTTTTATAAATTTTGACTAGGATGGAGAGTTGTCTCATTGGCACTCATACCACATCTAAGACTTCTTATATCTTATTTGGTATTCAAATATGTTAGCAGCAGATACCACCAAAGAGACATTTGTCATGTTTGTTGTCGAAATGCACATCTGGTGTAGAATAATTAATAGCATCTAGGATAATGCCTGTCAGAGACCAGTTGGCAATGGAATGAAAAGTTACGAAAATACCTGAGATCTCTATTTTAAAGACCAGTCTGTGCTTATCATATCTTATATCTATAGCACACCTATTGCACAAAAAATGTTCAACCGTTGCAATATTGACAACTTCAAGTATAACCATACCAAATGACTGATAAATGACATAAATGATGAAAGATGGAAAAAATCAGAAAATAAGAATTAATCATAAATAAATGAAATGCATAAATATAGCAAACAAAGCGTCAAAGAAATCCGGATCAAAAACAACATCATAAAAACCATTTAAATTTTTTATCGGATTTCTAAATATAACCCGCATTTGTTTTAAACAAGGAAGTGAAATTCTCGTTCAACATTAAGATGGCTTAACTATTATTTTAGTAACCTTCAGCATCACTTGATTTGATCCATTAATGCACAGATGAATTGAGGAATATATTATGAGGCTTGAAAATACCAATATTACATCTTTATTGTCAGGTATGTTAAAAAAACACGTGTTATAACAACAGATGTGCAAACTATTAAGTTTATAGACTGCACAATAAAGCAATAAACGTTAATTTGAGAAAAATACATTTAGTGCAATGTATCAAATAATATTAAAAACGGATCAAAGATGTTTAAAATAACGCACTTGGGATATGAAAAATTTTCTACCGTTTTAAGTTTTTCAAATCTTTCGTTAATTTTTTAAAGAATGCAAATTAAAAAAAAGTAAACATAAGCAAGGGAAGACAATCAGGACAAACAGATAAGAAACGCCACTGAGAAAACTGAACAACGCAAACAAAACCAGTGGGAAATCTAGTGACAAAATATAACCTCCTCTGTAAACACTGAAAAATAGATCTTCTCAATGTTTGTCTAATTTTAGCAAGGACGCTATCAATTATGGATTCACTGGAAAACGTCCAAGTAAATAGTAAAAATAGAAATAAGTTGAAATAAAAACAAATTTTCCATTTAATATTATCATTTCCCTCCTTAAGTAGCAAATGACGAGTACAGCAGCTAAGCTAGGCTGTAGAAGCTTGATGTAAAATTGGTTAAAAATGTTGCTATGCGAATAATTTCCTAGAGTACCGACGTCAATTTATTTTTCTACTGGCAATATACCTCTCTGGAACATGCTAATTATCCGTATATATATACAGTTAGATCAAAGAATGTCAGGGAAAAATTTCCAAAGGAATCGATTGATATGCAGCAAAGATTGGCACTTTTGAAATTAAGGTTCCACTAAAGTCAAAATATAGGATACTTCATAAACATCTAAACTTTGCCTGTATTTTTCAACCTATAATGAATAAAATCCTAAACTATGGGAACATATGTTCATTTAAACATATCTAACATATACACACTGTGTAATTTGTAAATAAACTTGAACTTGTTATGTTGTGGCCAAACCGGTTCTTGGGGTGAACACAAAATTTTCCAAAAAATCTGGAGGCCTGCGAGACGACTTAATTTGTTTAAAATTGGTATAGACGAATACTGTTATAAATAATGCAGGGCAAGCTCATGTTGATTTTTCAGAAAATGTATTGATTTTCGAGTTTCAGTTAATTTCATGTATCTAGGTGAACGGATATCGAAGGGTCAATACAGAAATTGGACAAATATGCCATTAAAAGATATGTATGTGACAAATCAACATGAGCTTGCCCTGCATTACATGTAACAGTATTCGTCCATACCAATTTTAAACAAATTAAGTCGTCTTGCAGGCCTCCAGATTTTTTTGAAAATTTAGTGTTCACCCAAAGAACCGGTTTGGCTACAACATAAAAATTTCAAGTTCATTTACAATTTACGCAGTGTGTATATGTTAAGTATGTTTAAATGAACATATATTCTCATAGTTTATGACTTTATTCATTATAGGTTGATAAATACAGGCAAAGTTTAGATGTTTATGAAGTGTCCTATATTTTGACTTTAGTGGAACCTTAAGTTACTAAGCAAATTCAAACGGACCTTATCTCGATGTAAACATTGAATAAGATAAGATAAGATAAGAAAATTTTATTTTGATTCGGCATAAGTTTAAAGACACAACACAAGCTCTAAGGAGCTTTTGACCGAATATAAAAACATATACATAACATAAAAACAGTCTAATTTGACGTATAAAACAACCTGTAATACGAAGTTAAATCTCACTTACATAGCATGCAATAAAAATTTAGCAATAAATTTAAAATGAAATAAAACATGCTAGACCAGAGAAACCAAAAGCAACATAAATAATAAAAATCTCAAGAGTTATCTGCAAGCAGAACAGCGACATTCCAAACCGTTCCAGGACTGAACAAGAATGTGAATAGATCGAGAAGATCGCAAATACATGTACAAAAATCGAGACGACCTTTTCTTACATTATGCATAAAACATAGTAGAAAGATACTGACTTTATAAGAATAGTTATCTTTAATTTCTTAACCTGCACATACAGACTTTAAAATTTTTATATTCACGAAAAGACAATATTTCTCTGTTGAATGTACATGAGACAAGAGCAGACCGGTGTGCGCGATAACTTAGGTGTGAAAAAATAAGTATACTTTTGGGAAATTGTAACATGCTAAGGACTTTGTGGAACACTCTGAAAATTGAAAGATCTTTAGATTTTATATGTACATGATTTTTTTCAATTCTTTTTATCAATATGCAGCAAAGATTGGCATTTTTAAGTTTCAGTTTCACAAGCTTCTTATGCAATTTTCTCGATAAATACTGAACATAAAATATCGTGTATTCGCATTTATATTTCTAATAACACAGTTTAACAAATAATTTTTTTAAAATGTACAATTATCATTTAGAAATAACTTTTGATCAGTATCGTCACCGGCATTGTTTTATTATTGACTTTTGATCAGTATCGTCACCGGCATTGTTTTATTATTGACTTTCTCGACTCTATCATAAGAAGAGTGAATTTTCTTTTGTTTTCGTTCACTAGATTGCCCACTGAAACAAAGAACAGGGAAGGGAATTACGATATCGTAAAAGGGGTTGTAGCTCTGACTATAAGGAACCTTTCTTGGGTCATTTGTGACACAGATTTTCTATTATGGTCAACCAAATCTTTATGAAGTCCGTTTTGGCGTCTATATATGTTGATAAAAATGACTTTTTGTATGCAGTTATATCAAAATAATAATCTTTTGGATGCTAAATTGTATTATTGAATTATTACACAATTTTACAGGTGCAGGTTTGGGGCCTTTGTGCAGTGATGTATTTCATTGTCGCTGTGTTTGTTTACCTTTGGTTGGTGTCAGGTCAGAAAACACTAGGTACATTTGTTTGAATTTATCCATGAAATAAATTGTGATAAATGACACCATTTATATTAAATGGCATATTTTTCCATGACATATGCAAATAAAATTGAGAATGGAAATGGGGAATATGTCAAAGAAACAACAACCCGACCAAAGAGCAGACAACAGCCGAAGTCCACCAATGGGTCTTCAATGCAGCGAGAAAATCCCGCACCCGGAGGTGGTCCTCCGAATTTATGTAATGCTACAAGCAGTCAAAGCTTTACAATTATGTTTGGAACATATCAAAATAGTGTTGAAATAGTAAAACGAAGTGATTTTTAATGCGCTGAATGTACTTATGAAGCCTTGCTCAAATTAGAAAGACGGAATGAAATTTGTTACAGCGCTATTGGTTAATTGGAGTTGCAGCGAAGTGGTCTTTGTTTCTTTGGAAATTAGAGCCCTTAATTTTACAAAAATCGCAAAACTTTACTTATAAGCGAAGTGGTGATTACTACATGCAAAAGATACTTTTGATAATATAAACTAACAATATTAAAATAAGGAGATGAGGTGTGATTGCCAATGAGACAACTATCCACCAAAGTTCAAATAAAGTGGCTGTGAGCAATTATAGGCAACCGTACGGTCTTCAACAATGAGAAAAATCCATACCGTATAGTCGGCTATAAAAGGCCCGACATGAAAATTAAAAAAATAATTCAATTGAGAAAACTAACTGCCTAATTTATGACAAAACAATTAACGAAAAACAAATATGACAGAATGAACCAGCGCCAACTACTGGACTACAGGCTCCTGACTTGGGACAAGCGCATAAAAAATGTGGCGGGGTTAAACATGTTTGTGAGCGCTCAACCCTCCCCTTACCTGGGACAGTGGTGTAACAGCACAACATAAGAACATACTATAAAAATCAATTTAAAGAGGCTTGACTCATCAGATCCCTACAAAGCAGAAAGACATCAAACATAAACAACGACCGGACGTGGCAGGGTATTTATTCATCCCTCATTCTTAACAACAAAAATGACACTAAGTACAGATCTGAAAGTACTCGCAGTTACTGACAGCTAGTTCAAAGCCAATAACAACTAATAAAAAATCACATATCTAAGACTAAATGATCAATCAGTACACATCCAACATCCAATGGATTTAGTGTAAAGACGTCATTAACAGTCAGAGAAAACATATCAATAACATCGAACCATTGTGGTATATCAAAATTAAACATATCCAATTGATGACGGTTGCATCATTTTCTCGAATATATAATTAAATGTAAGCTTTTGACTAGACCAACACGTTGAGTTGTTTTATAATATAGCTAGATCATAGCTACATATAAGTTATCGGCCACTGGAAGACATGCTTCCCTAGTCTGATATATTATTCAGACTACAAGCCAACCATTATTTTAACTAAAGCTACTTCGTATTACCGTATTATTGAACGATGTAATACTGTTCACTGTCAAATATTTGAAATCTTTACAAGTATATATTTTCTTTTGAATTGCACATATCAATTTTATTAAGGTATATATAAAAAAAAAGTCGACGAGACAGCTACCCAGCAATCAAACAAAACACATCCAATAAGTTCTTGTAGAAATGAAAATATTATGGATATTTTGAATTTCACAATTCTTAGTGGAACAAGAAGTCCTTACATATAAGAGAACCTCACGTTGCCACTAGTTTTTTGTGGGGTTAGCGTTAGTGTTAAAATCAAGCTTTTGTATTCCATGTCGTATTTAAGCGTTTTGTAGTTTAATACTGTATTTTATTTTCGATATTTCATTTTGACCTTAATGTTGTCTGTATTTCGTCGACATGATTTTTATTGCTTTCTTTTATATACATTTAATCACTACCTCTTACAATTTTATTTTTATTTAGGTCAGGTGGAATGGATGGTTGAAGATAAAGTTTTATCGTTTGGACAAAACCTGACATTATTTTGTGCAGTTGATGACTGTTGTTCAGAATTTCCAGGCTGGGTACTTTGGAATTATGACGGCAAAGATTACAGGACGATAGTTATCGATCTAAGAAGTTTTAAAAGTTCAAAATATGCTGGAGATTTAAGAAAAAATGGCTTTACCTTAGTCTTAAAACATTTGACCGAAACAGATATGAATCGTAACTATTCATGTACATATGGAAGTATTGTGGGTGAAAAGAAACTTTTGGTAATAGAAGAAGCTTTCAAACGTACGATTCTTTACTTGTTTTCAGATATTTCTTTAAAGTTCAAGACAAAGGCATTATTAGCCTTTTATCGGCAATTTGTACATTTTATCTTACAGCCTAATTAGAGGACGAAGTCCCCTATAACAGTAGAAAAATCAATAAAAAAAAATAAAAAAAAAATAAAAAAAATATATATTTCCAATGTTCTAATGAACTCAAAATCGTTAACTTTTTTTTCTAATTTATTTATTTTCCCGCATTTGCGCAGAAATCTCTTTCTTTCTTCCGGGGGCCTCGGTCGCCGAGTGGTCTAAGTAGTTACTTCTGTAATCACTAGCCAGTCAACACTGAGGTTGTGAGTTCGAACCCCGCTCGTGCGGGTGCACTCGACTCAATTCTTAATTGACGAGGATTGTCAGTTTTCCTATCGAAGGTCGGTGGTTTTCTCCGGGCACTCCGGCTTCCTCCACCAATAAAAACTGGCCGCCACGAAATAGCCCAAAAGCGGTGCTTAAAAGTGGCGTTAAAACACCAAAAATCAAATCAAATCTTTTTTCCGGTCTCGTTTGTCATGAGACTTTGAGTATCACTAACAACAGGACCAACATCGGAAACGTTACGGTATTTCCGTTTCTTTTTGAACATTAAAATATGTTAGAATTAAAAAAAAAAAAAATTGATACGGACTTCGTTCCCTTTCACAGGTAACGCCTGACTCATATTATTTTTAAGATCATGGACAGGACTTGATACTCGAAAATATTAGGCAATGACTTCATGTATAAGTGCAGCGACGTCGCGTACTCAAGTCCATCGACATCATTCATACAACGAAACAACGATTCCAAAGTTTTGTACGCGTAAAAATAGTTTTACTAACTATTTCATTCTACTTCATATTCTCAACCAAAAAACCTACAGTTATGACAAATTGCCGATAAAAAGAATAATGGCATTTTGTTTTTTGATACTGACTTCAGCAGCTCGAATATTAGCTCGCCCTAACGGGCTCGCTTGATATTCTTGCTGATAAAGTCAGTATCAAAAACAAAAATGCCATTATTCTATATATATTAAGTCAAGCATTTTGACACCAAAACAAATTGACAGTCAAACATCAGTGTCCATTTATCAACATTAACGTCCTATTGATACAAAGTGGACCGAATATTTTGTATGTGCTTTTTCAAACTGAATTATCAAGGTAATAGTTGAGTCAAAACTGAAAGGAAATGGTATTCATACTAAATGCAATCTAAACACGATTTGTTTCATATTTTACAGCGTTTGCCATTTAAAAATAAATTTTCATATTCAATGAAAACAAAACAATGTCAGTAATGGCTTTTGGCAATAATTTTTTGGAATTCCTATTTTTCATAAAGGATATCTCGCGTCCCCTATCCCTTCGTTGATTACATAAAAAAAACCATTTCTTAATTAACAACTGTTATTAATGAATGTTTTTTATATACTTTTAGCAATCAACGAAATATATGAACTTACAAAAAAAAATTAAGTGGGATGTTTTAAAGCAGTAGTTCTCTCATTTTATTTGCTTTGAATTGTCATGCATCGTATATTCCTTAACATCCTGTTATTATTCTATTTCCACTTGTATGCTATTGCAGAAACTTTAAGCAATTTCTGAGCTTTTGAAAAGAGATGACCAATATGTTTTGTTCTCGTATGTATTGCCTAAATAGCATTGAATGTCTCATAATAAAAGTTTTCAGTTATATTTCATTATCTTCTTACACGAAATGTATCAAGTACTCCTTTCATTTACTATCACTGATGGTTGACTGTTAGTCCCGATAATAGCACCAGCTCAGTAGTCATTGCTTTGGTACTGACGATATGATTTATAACATACATTTCTATAATTTCCCGATGATGAATTAAGTAATTAATTAGAAACTAAGGTTGCAATTTCCTCAAATAAAGTTAACCTTTATTTTGGTTATACAGCTCCCAATGTTTGTACGTATTTTTACATCCAAGTCTTTCAAATGTTTACGTTTGAGCATTCCTGCTGAACGTAAATTTAGAAAAGTGCTTAGAATACACGGCATTAAGAAAATGTTATTTTCATTTACAGCAAGACCGACGGTAACAAAATCAGCTATTTTAACGAATGGAGCACTGTAAGTACCTTATTAAGGTGGCTCGGGTGTCTTCCTCCATCTTGGATTTCGAAGTAGCAGATAACGTTGGTCTAGATATTTCATGAAATGTGCAAATTTTGAGAGTAGTATGTAATTTATGTAAAAGACTTTTGATGTAAATACAGAAAATTGTGTTTTTTATCATATTTACGGCTGTAATTTCTAAAATTCTAAAAAGCACCTTATTTGTGTTTGGTTAGATTTTTTTCAACTTTGCCATATAAGGGGAGATAACTCAGATAAAGTAATTTTTTCTTTTTCTTATCTGAAAGCATCTTATAAGAGCTATCTTCTCACATTTTATCTTAAAGTTCTATCAAGTAGTTTTCTTTTTATCACACAAAATTTGATTTTCCATGCATAATCTATACAATTTTGCACAACCTCTAGCGTGAAAAGAAGTTCGGTGACCCATACTTTTTATTATATTTTTGAAAAAAGCATGATAAAAACTTCATTTTGACAAATTATCAAAAAATTCTATCAATTTTGATTAAGACACCCCAGCCACCTTAATCAAATTTCCCTTCCACAACTCAACACATTTTTTTCTGAAATATTACATAATGAACGCAAAGCATAATTCGGCTATGAAAATAAATTAAATTTTGAAGGTTTCATACATATACTTAACAAAATAGGTAATATACAGGCGATACGCGTGTCTACAACGACCATATATAACACTTTTCTAGGAACTTTATATAGTTATAATTTTGGAACTGGTCATTGAATCATTAGTTTATGCTTTATAAAGATGGAAGATAAACAATGTCTTTACTAATATTTCAGTATTGGTATAGTGGTTGCTGCTTGTATTGTGGTGATACTGGTTATACTGGGGATTTTAGCACTCTGTTTTTGGAAGAGAAGGGATAATGACTATAGACTCGCTAGTAAGGAGTTTACATTATAATTAATATCATTTACACAAAATTTATTATTGATTTCAACAAATTCATTGATAATAGTTTAGTTAGGCAAAATAAAACTATTCAAAATACCATTTAGAGCCATTTTAAGCATTAATGTTTTTTACATTTTCTTTTGTGGGTCTTGATGTACAAACGGGAAGTTGATACATTGCGACTTTTTGATTCAAGACGTACCCAATGACGTAGCTAGAACAATAAATTAGTAGACATTCATTTTGGCTTCGTTTCGATGAAATGACACATGATTTACATAATTGTCAAAATTTGCATTTAAATCGAATGAATAGATGGATGAATTTATATTGGTGTGCAATTCGCGATTTGCTATGCATGTATCGCCCGCTTTGAGAAACGAAATATTTCACTATCATAAAAACGTTCTACGAAATTGACTCTGAGCATCTAATATCTGATCATCAACAAACGTTTTGTTCAGTATTACTTAATATGGTTCAGTTATCGTTCGATGCAGCACAGATCATATATCAAATGGTATAATTATTTGGAAACTTTTTCTAATCTTAAGTATCAGGCGAATCTTAACAAATTAATTATTTGTTCACATGTAGTTTGCAATGTGGTTTACAGTGTTTATCGTTTGTCAATTCTAAACGTCAAGAATCACAAATCTCATAGGTTTGGAAACGAATATACAACAATTTTCCTTTACTTAAATCCTGGGAATGAAAGGACTCCGTAAATAGCTGATGTGTCAATTGACAAATTATACATTATTTATCGTTTCAGATTTATGACCCATAAAAGCTTTAGAATATTTCCTTTTCTTTCCGTTGATACAATTTTTATAGACATATCTATGTACTGTAAAATCATACAAATTTGGCCTGAATGCATTTATTATTGGTATTGTTGAAAAATGGACAAGCATGCTAGATTAATCATTGCGATTTCAGGAAGTGCTGTAAACAAATAATGCTACACAAAAAATATGAGCTTTTACTTAGCGAAACCAATCTCTTTTTAATGTTTGCAATAATTAAAACATCGCAGAAATATTGAATTCACAGTATTTTATAAGATGAAATGATGTTTTAAAAATAAAGTAGCAATGTCCTTTAAAATTTGCTATGGTTTGTTTTAAATCAAACTTCTTATTGTCCGTATTCAAATCTATATACCAAGTTTCTCCACTTCTTTTTCAGATCCTCTCAGTGTCGTTGTTGAACCTACTAGTTCAACTGTTCTCCATGGCAATAGTCAAACAATTACATGTATTGTCACTGGACAACCTCCAGGGCAGAGTATAGCTTGGTACTTTGCTCCACCTGATGGAGGTCGAGAGATTATTAACATAGACAGCAATAATACGAAGTATTCTGGTGGTACAATGTCAAATCCCTCTCTAACCATACTGCATTTTCAGTCATCAGATAGTGGTTCATACACGTGCTCTCTTACCAATGCTGTTGAAACAATTATAGAAAGTGAACCTTGCCTTTTGACTTATATAAGTAAGTATTGTACTAGTAGTTCAGGACTTTGATTGGTTCGTTTTACTGTGACACAAATATATTTATACGTTGTATCGTAAAAGACATTTGAAGGAATTTATAATTCTCTTCGAGATAAAGATTACAATTATATATTTTAGTGACCAGGATATAATAGCAATATTATACGTATTACAATTTTTAAAAGCCATATGAGTTTGTAAATATTTAATTTTCGCATGTGTGTTTGTATGTGTTTGATGTTGTTTATGATTATTTTTTTGTTTTGCTGCTTTTGTTTATTTCTGTTTTTTGTTTGTTTGTTTTTTTTTCTGCCACCGTTTAGGGGTTTTGGGTTGAGGTTTTAATCAGCTGAAGAAGCAAAATCAATAAGTTTGCATTAGTGGATAGCTGTTCTGCATCTATGAACGCACACGATTTGTTTCAAGTCTATAGTCTAAGTTTAAAGAAGTATTGGAGTTACAGTTCTTATTTCGTCGATTTATGACCAAATAAATTAGAATCAAGACTTTAACACTGGTTATAATCAGGTCTGTAAAGGATAATACTTCGGCTTTACGTTTACAATACTTACTCACATAACAGTCACTGCTATTATATAAATACTGCACGGATCATGATGGATAGCACAATAAACAAAACAAAACATCCGACTCTTCAAAAAATAATAGACATTTCTCGTTTTTTATATAGATTAGACCGTTGGTTTTTCTGTTTGAATTGTTTTACACTAGTCATTTTGGGGTCTTTACAGCTTGCTGTTCGGTGTGAGCCAAGGCTCCATGTTGAAGGCCGTACTTTGACATATAATTGTTAATTTTTTATTCATTGTGACTTGGATGGAGAGTTGTCTCATTGGCACTCATACCACATCTTCTTATTTCTATGTATATAAACTTCAAAGAACTACACACGGTCTAGATAGCCTTACTTTGTGTAAGTACACACGGTTGTGGTGTCTAACCAAATAACGTGCTCAAAACACTCCTCTCACACTCCTTTTTATCTATCTTGACCGTTTTTATTTCAGATTCATTTCATATACAGATCTAGAAAAGTCTAAATTACATATAAATCGACTCCGTCACTGACTTTCATGGATTTTGTTTAATTATGGTCACCTATTATATGTTCAGCTACTGGTTAGGAATTAATGAGGTTCACTTTATTTTTTGGAAATTTGTTTGAAAGATTTCTTTTTGAATTACTAGTAATTCTTTTAATTTTTTTCAATTTATGATTCTTTTATTGAAATCATCAGAATTTAAAGTGTATATACAAGTGGAAAATAAATATGAATCAGGAATTTGAAAAAAAGCTCGAGTTCCATGCAAGTTACCTAGAATTATCGTCTTAAATACTTACGAACAATTGCATAAATTTTTCGTGTAAAGTCATATAATGGAAGAGGATTACAAGAGTCTAGCGCAATTTAAATTACTTGTTATGATAAACTTTACTATTTTTTATTTAAATTTTATAGAGCTAATTTTCATGTTTTCTCATGATTTAAGGGGGTAGGCTTGGGTAATCCCAAAATTTTCCTCTCTTTTAATGTTTTATCTTCTATTTTCACCATTGAAAGGGTATGGGTCCATGCATCACAAATTTTTGTTGAAATTGACAGTTATGTTTAGGGTATATTGAATATGACCAGTTCAAGTTTGGGGTACCCTAAAAACTGACTGTTAAAATGCGTAGTAGAAACATATTATAAAATAAATCTGAAATTTCATGGTAATATACGTAGGCTGAATGTAAATAAATTGTTTAAAATTATTATGATAAGTCGAAAATTCTGGCCAGCTCAATTAGAGATATAATTTTCAAACTCTACCAGAACAAAAACCGTTTAATTCCTGCAAAAAATTGCTACACCAATTATTGTTTATAAACCTTAAAAATTACAAACTTTTATTGAAACTGTTTGAAATGTACAAAATCTTCAAACAATTTCGCATACAGACCTAAGAAAAAAGAAAATTTTTGAACAAAATTCATTTTCAATTTACGAAACCTGCTACTGTCTCTCTTTGCATCTTTTTGCGTGCTTAAATGAAAATTGTATGGTCACAATAATAACTGTTTATAAGTTTATAAGGAAAAACAGTAAAATTCAGTAAGTAAACTCATCATAGATATGGGACGATTACCGTTGGGACGAATTGACATATCAACATTATAATATGTAACGTTGGTTTCCCTCCCTAAGACTACAAAATGCCCCTGTCTGCCTGTCATCGAGTCAGCAGACGCTAAATTAAGACATAAGTTAAGTACAGCCTATCAACTAATATCTTAGCAATAAAACCTTATAACTTCAATATTCCATCGATTTTGTTCCCAACTCAATGTTTTCCAAACTTTCCAAGATTTTATCTAAAAGATGTCAAGAGTCATTCCCAAAACTTACAAGTACATAGTTTTTTAAGCATTTCATGTAGGAATGTTTTTTTTTTCTTTTGATTTTTGAATCTTTTTACAAAAAAAGTAATTCCTTAACACTTTACTTACTGAATTGTTTTTTTCCGCGACTTTGTGTGGCCTGTTCAAATTTCCTCGCGCAGTTTGCCTGGCCTGAATTAATTTGACGTGTGAATGGAGAAAAATTAACGTTTTAGAAAACAAGTTTGTATCTTCGTTGTTTCTCATCAAATCGGTTTCAAACTCGATATTGTCACATTTAAGTATGTAAGGATCGTTGCAAAATAAATAATTTTACATGACAATACCTACTTTTGATAATTTTTAACCTGTTGTGGGAGGAAAATGACGTTTGATTTGCGAAATCATCTTTTTTTGTGACCGGTTTATATTTTTGCCTTTCATCTGCTAAATTAACACTACAAACGGTAGTTAACAATTTCGAGTGTTCCTTTAACAAAGTTTTATGGAAAAAATAACTCCACAGTCAAAAATATAACTCATTAGTCTGAAGAAACACGAATGAAAATGGTGTGTCAAATTCCGCGGCGGCCATTTTTGTACTTGTAATGCAATCACTTGATAGGAAGTTGTGTCCCTGGATAAGTTGGAGTTGTCTTTCTTAGTCCAATATTTTCTTTGTATTTTTGCATTGATTTATATATAAATTGACTATTGGGATCTTTTGTAGATTTTTTTTAAATTTTAGTAGAGATATCTAATGATTTTTTTTTTCTGGTAAAATTAATACTTTTGAGATTCATATGTGCTTTTTTAAATGAATGTGCATATATATTTTTTCTGTTTTTTTTTTTTGTTTTTTTTTTGTATCAGACCACTGCATGGAAATATTATTTAAATGTTAGCTGATCTGACAAACTAATACATGAACATTTAACACTTCAATAATCTTGATAAATTAAGTGAGACATAGTTAACTCTTTTAAGACAATCATGAACTCACTATGATTTATTTAAATAATTATCTTTGTCAGTGTCCATGGGATGCTAGAATTTCCACTGTCTTTGGTTGGGTATTGTTCAATGATGAACATAATTTAATGCTCCTTAAAATTTGTTGATTCAAAAATTAATAAATGAAACTGTCAACTGTAACAACAATAATAAATTATGAATATCCTTTCAACAAATTATGAATATCCTTTCAACAAATTATGAATATCTTTTCACAAATTATGTATATCCTTTCAACTTCAATTGTAACCAAGTAACTGTCAAGTAAGAAGTGTAATTTTTGAGTGAGTGGAAGACTGCAGCAGTGTGACAGGCAAAGGTGTTTGCTACATTCAACACCACCATATTTTGTCTGACACCTTTTTTTCCTGTGTACTATTAGCAACCCTAGCCCAGCATACGTGACACCATGTCTTGTTTCCCAAGTCTGCTGGCAAATGCCTGTGTGTCAATCTGATTTCTACTGGTAGGTTTGATGGCCTCCCTCGACTGTTGTCCCTTGTCGTATACCCTGCGATAAGCATAGTAGCAACAGATTTTGAAAATTCCAAGAAGGTCATTGATGTAGTTTGCTAGTGATTTGGTGAAATTTGGAAGAGACGGTAGCCGTTAAACTTAATGACTCCAAGCATCTTGAAGAAAACTCTCTTTGGCCATTTCAGTGTCTTGTGTCCAAAGAAATAGTATTGGATATACTGGTCACAACGGTCAACACCACCCATGTGGGTAGTGTAATCCGCAATCATCTTTGGGCATTGAAGTTGCTGTCTTTGGAATTGTCCTTCATTTTAGACAATTCTACTTACTTACGTCAAGCCGTTGTCATGTATGGTAGAGATCACAGACACATTTTTCTTGTCTTTCCATACTGTAGCTGCAATTGCCCCCTCTGCCTAAACTGACTATCTCCTCTCTGTGTTACTTTAACAGGTTTCTTTGTCATCAAATCCTTTGGCAAGCCTCTTCTGTTGTGGCGGACAGTTCCACAAGCTCCAGTGTCAATATTTTCAAACAAACTAGTGAACAATGCAGGACTTGAAAAGTAATTATCCATGTAAACATGGTAACCTTGTCTGGATAAATTGGCTCCTTCAAGACAAAAGATAACAACGGTGCTGGTCAACCCTACATGTGTTCGATCTGTCTTGCCCTGGTAGATCTCACATTATGACATGTATCCAGTGTCAGACTCTGCCAATGCCCAAAGTTTGATGCTCCATTTCGTTGGTTTAGCAGGCATGTATTGCTTGAATGCAACCCTTCCTTTGTTAGGTAGCATGCACTCACCAATTGTCACCTCTCGTTTGGGGACATATTGGTCTTTCATTTGTTTGTTAAGGGCGTCCGTAATGTATCTGACTTTGTAAGTACCATCATAATTAGCCTCCCCTCTTTGCGGAACTTGCTGGTGAGGACCATTGAAGTGTAGATACCTCATTATCTGCATAAATCTGTCACGTGCCAAAACTGTGGCAAAATATGGGATTTCCAAACAAACTCTAGACCAATATGAATTAATGTCTGGCTTTACATCAATATCCATGAGAAAAGTAATACCAAGAAAAGCCTTCATCTCAGGCAAGAAGGGACAAGACCAAGCTGATTTGTTTTGATCAGGGTTTATATCTTTTTTCATCTTTGCATAACTATCAGTTTTCTCAATTATACTTTGTATAAGGTTGTCAGATAGGAACAGTTGAAAAAAAGTCAATGGTATCCTTCCCTGGGCCTAATATGTTTTGTGGGCCTGTATTACTTCTAGGTTGGAAAAGATGGGGGAGACCTCTTTCAAATATATCAAATTCTTGGTGCCATTCGTCATTCTTGGGGGAATCACCGGCATTATTTACATCTGCCAGTTGTTGTTCATCATTATTATCGTCTGAAAGTTCAATTTCAACATCACTGATCATGAAATCATCACATATACCATTATGAGCTAATTGCATTTGATACCGTTGACAAGCAAGTTCTACTTCTCCCTACGAAAATCCCTCAAACTCGTCCTCTGAACTACCGGACATTTTTGTGTTTTAAAATTATTTACAACGATTTTGGCGTCCTTGACACAGAGCAAGTGAGAGAGGAAAGTGATTGGACAGTTTTATTAAGATTTTCCATAAAAGGAGCGCGACCTTTTGCACTCGTGGGAAAAATCCAATAACCGCGCCCACCGAAGTCCGATTATTACTTGATTTTTGTCTCCGTGGAATTGCAAAACGCATTTTTCGTATTTTTTAATATAATATTCATCAAACTAATCATGAAATTAAATTAGACTTTCCTTCCAAATAACATTTTCTTGACCAAAAAAGTCACATGTTCGCATCACATGTGTTGTACAAAATGGCGACGGCTTATTTTGTTTGTTGACGCTACCGATCTTCCATTGTATTGTAGTAAATATGAGGTATCAAATTCAGTCAGAATAGGTATTCTTTAACTTTGATATACAAGCTTCCTGAAAACCCATATATAAATTGGCTTAAACGCAGCTTTACTGGGGAAAATGTGTTAAAAGACGAAAATTATTTTTATCCCGTGATTGACGATGCCTGAAGCATCGTTCGGCCTGGCTACGGCGATGCCTCAAGGCATCGTCCGGCGTGTGTTTGGCGATGCATTGAGGCATCGTTCGCCTGGAATGGGTTAATATAATACTTTATGGAGTCAAACGTGTCCAATTTTCTTAGATGCTCTTGCATCATTCTCAAGACCAAATGTAAACATAATAAATGCTTGATCACTGTTTCAATTATTGCTAGGTTAAAACACAAAAATGAATTCAAAACAATTGTAAGAGTTGTACCCAGGTCTACCCCATAAGTTTCATGACAACTGAATGACAAACTGAACATTTTTTGAAAATTTGAATTGGGCTAGACTTGTATAAAAGTGTATAACATTGCATACAAATGTCATAAATATTATCTTAAAAAGATATGCGTTATCATTAAACATGTTTTAATTGTCAAATTGACATAAAAGATCTTAAACTATTGCATGACCTTACTCAATACTTGGTGAATTTCTTTATTTGTTTTCAGATATTCTCAGCTTGGTTGTAGAACCTGATCACGCAAATGTCATCATTGGAAACAATCAAACTATAACATGTTCTATAAGCGGACAACCATCTGCACGAGGCATAATATGGTATTTCACACCAACTTATGAAAGTAAGGTAGAAATCAGTCCTGAGAACAATGCAGCAAAGTATTCAGGTGGAACGATTTCAGATCCTTCATTGACCATTCTGAACTTTCAAACTTCTGACAATGGTGCATATGTGTGCACTGCAACTAATACAGCTGGTAGAGGAAACAGCAATTCTTCCGTTTTAACTTGCATAAGTAAGTACAATTAAATACCTAAGAACGACATATTAGTAAGACAACACCATGGCAAAAAACGAAAATCGTTTAAAAGACAAGCAAGTAAACAAAACACTACATAGAAAACAAAAGAATGAGGAACACGAACCCGTAAAAAATTGAAGGTGATCTCAGGTTCTCTGGGAGGGACGGAAGATCCCACATGGGATGTGTCGGGTACCAAAAACATAAATTAAAAGTCATGAACAAAACCTTAGTTAAACTTAGCCAACTCTGCAGATACCTGTTTGTACAAAGATTGTTTCAGCTCTAACACTTTGAAACTCCTTGCAGTTTAAGGTTGAATTAATGGTACATCAGAAAATCTCTGCCTTCCATGGGTATTACAGATATTTAAAACAAATAATCCTTCACTTGCTAACTTAAGCGTGACCCTCTATGATGACTCCCATCACTATCTTCTACTTTTAAACCTTTTGTACCAAACTTGTGCGAACTTTTAATTAAATCTTTACATAACATTTTTAAAAATTGAATGTCAAAAAGAAAGAAAAAAAAGAGATAGATAAAAATTATGTCTTGCGTGAAACAGTCATTCTTGTTATGGTACCTAGCCCTATGTGTGATCATATGGTCCTTCATATTCAAATTTGAATATAAATACGGACAATGTATGGCTAATACCGGTAAATTTTTAACATGTAAACTGAAAAACCTTTATGGGAACTGTGTTTGAAATTTCATTTAACATTTAAAAAGAACCATATTTGAAGTCTGAATTGATCATTACTCGGGTGAAATAACTGTAATATTTTCAAAGAGAAAACGTAACAACGAACCATATAGGTATGATAGATTTACAAACTTATTTTGGACACCAGGTTTATAGTTTAGTACACCAGACGCGTGTTTCGTCAAATAAAACTCGCCAGTTGCGCTCAAATCAAAACAACTGTATAACCAAGTCAATTCGGAAGCCATTATTTGGCAATTGAAATTGCAAATAATGTGAAAAAATAACCGAGATTATTTTTTGCAGGTAATTGTCAAAAATTGAAAGATAGTTTTTTGTCCGAAATTGCAAAGAGACTCGGACATGATTGGAAACGAGTTCCAATAGCTTTAGAAATTACAACACAAGAGTTGGAGCAGATAGAAAGAAAGTATATAAATGAACCAGTAACACAAACAACTGAGGCTCTGATCATGTGGCGTAACAGAAAATCAAATTCTACAGAAGAAGACAATGTTAAAGAGTTGATAAATGCGTTGACTTTCGTTGAGAGACAAGACATTATTGATGATCTAAGACTAGAAATGTAGGTATTTCAAATCAATAAAGCACTCAAATGAATTAAATAGTTTCTTTAATCGATTTGTACACACAAAAAAATCAATCAACTGTGAGGCAACCAATCTGACTTGAACGTACATACATGGTAATTTTACATTAAGTCATTTCTTTGCAAATGGTTTGTTCAAAGCAGTTTTTCTATACACCAAAGCAAAAGGATAGAAATATAGAAAATCACTTCAGGCGTATGAAATTCAAGTCTTTTTCGTCAATATTCCGTTAAAAAATTCCGAGTTATATACATTGTATAACTACTAGTAAACCGTCCAGCTCTCGAAATACTGAGGAAAAAAGTTTTTTGCGATACATCCGATCGACTTGATTAGGATTCAGATATTGCACAAACTGGCAGTATAATAAACAAAAACATTCCTCACTATTTTTTTAGTTCCGAGAATAACATAGACAAAATGACGGTAGATGATATTACATATATCAAAGACTTCTGAATTTAAAAAAAAAATCAAGGACTATGAAAATATCTGGGATCGATGACTTTGTATGAAAAATTATTTGATATTTGAAACATTGCTGTATTGATTTTCATTGTTTTTCCTATTTCTCAAACGAACTATATTAATAAGTCTCAGCAGCCGATTTCATAATAACCCTATCTGAATCAAGACTTAGTTTATTAATTAAGTACCCTATGTTGGCTTTTAATTTAAAATGGCGGTCGGATATTTAAGAAACAATCTCCTGAGAAATCAGTATTCCTTTTCTATCGTACTGCATTATACGCACCCCGTTAGGTATATGAATCTCTGGGTAAAGAAGCGGGGTCAGATCTGAAACTAGTCTTTTGTATGACCGACAAATGTTCGTGTTTAAGTAACATTCGAAGTCGAAAAGATTTTTGTGTATTCGTTTGCACAAAATAAATAAAGTGTCATTTTCATACACAATGTCCTGCCTATTCTTTGAAAGGCCATTTTTTCATGTCCCTTTGACTATCAATCCAGCCTGAATAAAGCTGTCAAAAAGGCCATCACCGACTGAATTGTCCTTATATCTTATACTGCAATAAGATATTTGACTATTGTTTTTATCTGTACCGGTATTCTGTAATTGATAAATCAAAACATAACTATAAATGTATTACTATAGAGCTTTGAACACACAGTCCTACGTCCCGTCGATGCTTATATTTTGGTATTGCACAATGTCATGTTTTTCTTTGTTTATATCGAATTTACAATAAATCAATTGGATATGTACTGAATAATATTTTACTGAATAATATTTTAGTGTGAGACATGATTTATTTCTTAGTTATAATAGGTTTTGAACTAGCTGTCAGAATGTGCGAGTTTCCTCAAATCGGTCCATTGTTTCTTTATCCTTTTTGTTTTTGTGCTTTGCATCGAACTAATCAAGAGTTTTTCGACTGATTTTAACAATTGGTTCTTAAGATGTGCTGTTACACCACTGGCCCAGGTTAGAGGAGGAAAGTAGTGCGCGTACAAACATGTTGAATCCCGCCACATGCTGTCTGTCCCCGCACTTACTTAGAGCCTGTTACTCAGTGTTTGCCGTTGGTTGCTGTCTATCGTATTTGCTTTGCGCTAAAAGTTTTGTATATAAATCAGGTGTTTGTCGTTTTGTTTAATTGTTGTTACATTCTGTTATGTCGGGACCTTTTATAGCTTACTGTACGGTGTGGGCTTAACATTTTGTTGAAGTCGCGCGGTTAACTATAGATGTGTACATCTGCGTTATTTTGGTATCTGGTGTATAGTTGTTTCATAGGCAACCATATCACTTTTTTTTATATAACTGCGAGTTAAACGTATATTTAGAAAACAATATGGGACAGTCACGTCGATATCAATGAACAATTTATACAGAATTTTAATCAACTTTTTCCACGAGCATAATACAAGAATACGATACTAACACACTTCCTTATCAACTTTTAAAAATAAAATCTTTTTATATCAAATAATTACTATAGGATAAAACACATTTTTTCTAGAAGTTATTCATTTGAAACTGGGGCAGTCAAATCACAAACTGAATAAAAGTTCGAAAAATGTATTTAATTCTTATAATTCTTAACCAAAATATTTACAATTTTTAATTAACATTTTTTTTGTTCATTGGATATTATTTACCATCAACTGCACAACTGACATGTTGTAACTAAGGAGTTAGTCGAAATATTGACTTTCTGAAATCCATACATGTTCGATTAATGCGATATAATCTAAAATGAAATAACACATACCTCAAAAACTTCATTTTAATTAGATATTTTTTCGAATATGAAGCGTACAAGTAACGAAATAACCATTAATTTGAGAGTTTTCTCGTATGACGTCATGTTTTGCATGACGTTAATGGGCATACATTTTCCAAGCTTTAATGGATTATTTCTTTTTATTATGTATTAGAATAGAAATACAGCTATGAATTTGTTTTTCAATCTCAATTTGCTTGATTCACCATGGATGTGTATCGCGCATGAATAGATCACAGTAAAGGTTACGAAAGTAGTTTCGGCAACATGGTCTATTGAAGTGTAAAAAAAATTAAAACGAACCAATCCGATACAAGGATTTGTAAATATGCAAATCATATAATAATTATAAATGTATAAATAACATTATTTTATGCAATTTGATTCATAACATGCATTTGATCTATATATGTATTTTTTTAAATAAGGGTCGTTTTACATCACTTTTTTCACTTGTGGGCAAATTACATGTGTTTATATTGGTGGTATATGTCTTACATTTAGTAATTTATGTAAGTCATTTACACTGTGTATCTGATATATGGTTTCGGTTATGTTACTTCAAATTCCAAATTCTGACTTTTTATCTAAAATGTTATTTGAAGTGATCAAACAATATGCATATGACAGTCTTGGCTAAAAAATAAGCTAGTGATTACCGTAGATTAACTTACGAGACCACTGAAGCGCCGAGGCCCCGACAAAAAATTGGAAAACCAGAACACCCACTTACTGGTACCAAATAAATACCGAAATTACTAAAGATTAAGACATCATCTGTTTTTCCAAGGTCTTTATCTTACATTATTCCCATAAAAGAAAAATTTTAAGCCCCAAAAATGTTATTTTTATTTGTAATGCATGCCAAAAACTATTAAAAAAAAATCAGCTTTGACAAGACACAATTTTGCAGAGAAGCTACTACTTTTACAATAACCAATAAGAAACTTTAAAGAAAAGTTATTTTTTCTGCAGGTTCGTTTTAGAAAAGCTATGACTTGAACGGCTTTTTAGAAAGCGATTACCCTTATGCAATGTAACACACTATGTAACGCAATGGACAACAAGTAATATTGAAAAAAAAACGAATATTCTTAAATTGAATCTAATCGCTTTGACGTTAGACAATAAATTTTCGTGTTTCTAAATTTCACGTTAGTACTTTTTTTCATGAACATCAAAAATATTTATAAATATAAAGTCACATATTTTATATGATGTTAAGGACTTATTGGAAATAGAACAAATATTTTATATATACAATTCAGAAGTTTAAAAGAAAAGAAAATACGAACACATAATTAAGTCATTGGATTTACTACAAATATTGTGTTTTGTTTTAATTCTGTTTAAATTGTTAGTCTTGTTGTTGCTAAAAGACTAAATGATTACATTTGGTCAGTGACATGTATATTTTGATATATATAATACAAAGTTTAAGTGAGAAAATTCTGCAATTAAAGGCATACTGAAAAAAAAATGTTTCAAAAGTGAAATTATCAAATTTAAACTATTAGATTTAGGAGCAAGTGGTCGTCGCTATTTTAACATGGATGAAAATGACGAAGAGAAAAAAAATGCAATAGGTCAACAATATTTTGTGTATGGAAATATTCAATGACGAACATGTCAGTCTGGCAGGTTTTATTTGACCTTGACCTCATCTTCAAGGTTCATTGCTCAATGTTAATTGTTTGTGTTTAGGTCTGTTTTTCTTAAACTATAAACAATAGGCCAACTATTTTTTGGTTTATGGAATGATTATAAGGTCTGTATGTCTGTCTGGCAGGAATCATATGACCTTGACCTCATTTTCATGGTTCAGTGGTTAAAGTTAAGTATTTGTGTTTTGGTCTGTTTTTCTAATATTGTATGCAGTAGGTCAACTATATTTGGTGTATGAAAATATTTTACGATGAACATGTCAGTCTGACAGGTTTTATTTGACCTTGACCTCATTTTCACGGTTCATTGTTCAATATTAAGTTTTTTTGTTTTGGTCTTTTTTTCTTAAACTATGTATATGTCTATCTGGCAGGTATCATCTGACCTTGACCTTATTTTCATGGTTCATTGGTCAATGTTAAGTTTTCCTGGTTAAGTTTGTATCGTAGGTACTTTATGCAATAGGTCAACTATTTTTGATGCATGGAATTGTTATAAGGTGTACATGTCTGTTTGGTAGGGTTCATCTGACCTGGACCTCATTTTAATGGTTCATTGGTCAATATAAAGTTTCCATAGTTTTGTCTGTTTATTGTATCCTATAGCAATAGGTCAGCTATATTCGATGTTTGGAATGATTGTAAGGTGTACATGTACTTCTGGCTTGGTTTGTCTGACTTAACCTCATTTTCTTGGATCATATAAGTTTATGTGATACTTGAAGTTAACTTTATATTTAGGAATATCAACATAAAATCAATGTTCAGTAAAGCAGGCGAGACAGTTTAGCGTGTGCGCTCTTGTTACCTAATTATGTCTGTTTGTTTTGTTCACACATTGTTTTCAATATAATGGAATTTTATGCGACTGTCATACAAGTGAGATGTTTAGCTAGCTATAAAACCAGGTTTAATCCGTCATTTTCTACACAAGGTAATGCCTGTACCAAGTCAGGAATATGACAGTTGTTTTCCATTCGTTTGATGTGTTTGAGCTTTTGATTTTGATAAGGGACTTTCCGTTTTGAATTTCCCTTGGAGCTCGGTATTTTTGTTATTTTGCTTTTTTTTTCTGTCATCCTCGAAAAATATAGAATATCACATATTTTGGAAACATTTAATTCTGAGCACTTCATAAAACACAACTTGCATTTGAATATTGGTAATTTAAAAAAAAACCAAGTAAACTTGCAAGTATTAACTATCACATACAAAAACTAAGAAAAAAACTGAACTATGAAGAACATTTCTCTCTCTCTCTCTATCTATCTCTAAACTAACTCAATGTTAACATATTTATCAATGTTTATTAAATTCAATCGCTTCAATATGATGGATACTATTTAAATTACGCAAAATATTGTGAATGATATATATTAAAAGCAAAATAGATATACTTCATGTTTTTTTTTTGTTTTTTTTTTTACAATGCTCTAGATTTTCAACTCCGTATTTGATTGACCTTCTAACGGTTTTCATTCGAGTGCCACTGGATAGTCGAATATAGACAAAACGCCTATCAGACGTTACACAGCCTAGTATCTTTGACATAAGTTTTTTTCCTTTAAATAAAAGTACACGAATATTATCTTTCAAACAGAAAGGAAGTAAACAATCATTATTCCTTCCTTGTGATGTCCTTGTTCATATAATGATCCAATCAATGATCATTTATCATTATCCTTACCGGTACATTTGTACTGTATGCACTAGGTAAGCTTTATGCACTAGCTAAGCTTTATAATCACGGCTTCCAGTTCCTGTATTTAACCAAACAAAATAAACAACTTGGCTGTCCATTGAAGCGTTGTTTACTGAGTATGAGTTTCCGCATTGTTTTCTACTTTTGATTTTGCCATTTGATAATGGACTTTCCGTTTTGAATTTTCCTTGGAGTTCGGTATTTTTGTTATTTTACTTTTTACTCGTATCTTAGCCTAATTCATAAATTACTTCTGCACTCGAATTTATTAATTACATTTATTTTCAGCATCTGCTGACATTGCATTCGTCTATACGATAGTTATTCAAATTTTCAATGTAAAAATGATTTACAATAAAAACGTATAAGCCTAAGGTTAATAATATGAAAACCATTTCCAAATAGGTATATCACATGATTTGCATGTTCATAAGTTTTAATTGACGAAAATTATATCTTTTAAGGGAATTTGATGGTAAAAAAGTAAATTTTCAGGTTATC